CGAGGATATGGTGACCGCGTTAGATCCTATGAACAAGTAGCTGCTTTATTTAATACTTATCCAGATCATGAACCGATTTCGAAGTCTACAGTCCAGAAAACGGTCAGACGATTTGATGAAACAGGATCCGTCAAGGACCGACAACGTACTGGCAGACCAAAATTTGCGACAAATTTGGATAAAAGTTTCGAAGTAATCATTCGTCGAAAAAATCCTCATTCTACTTTGAGGAAGGCAGCACAGACACATGAGATTAGTACAATTTCCATTCATCGTATTTTAATTAAAAATGGCATCCTTTCAAAATTAAAGTCACTCAGGAGCTATCGGAAGATGATTTTGATCGAAGAAATGAATTCTGCAACGAAATAATGTGTCGATACGATGATAAGAACTTTTTCGATCACATAATTTTTCCAGACAAAGCCTCTTTTGAATTGAATGGAGCGGTAAATCGGCATAATTGCCGATATTGGAGTGATGAAAATCCTCACTGGATACGTGATATCCGCACGCAGTATCCCCAAAAACTTAACGTTTGGGCGGGTTTTTGCGAACGTGGTATTGTCGGACCATTCTTCATTGATGGAATTTGAACACGGCGATCTATCAAGAGCTATTGCAAAATGAAGTCATACCCGCTCCTGAAAATATGTTTGATGGGAACATAGAAAATATTTGGTTCCAACAATATGGTGCAGGCCCACACTATGCAGTAGCAGTACGGCAATTTTTGGATAATACTTTTCCAAATCGATGAATAGGAAGATGTGATCAAATAGAGTGGCCTGCTAGATCACCAGACCTTTCTCTTGTCGATTATTTTTGTTGGGGATATCTTAAAAACAATGTATACGAAACAAAACTTGCCAACTTTGCGGACCTTAGGAAACATATAATACACCAAATCGATCTTATTTCGGCAGAGGTGAGACGAAATGTTTTAAATAATTTGTATCTACGATTAGGCCATTGTCAAGCAGCAGACGGAGGTCAATTTGAACACTTAACTAAATCACATATACCTACACACACACACACATATACACACGCACGCACACACGCACGCGCGCATACACATACGCATACACACAGCAGAGAGAGTTTGGAGTCATTAAATACTTCGGAAGTGACGAACTGTGAAACCCTTACCTCTGCTGTGACATACACACACACATACACAAGAGATGTAAATCCAATCGTGTGACCTCCACACGGTACACCTTGGCTAATGCCGGCGGTATTGTAACTTTCAAGCCCCATAACTCGGAAAATACTCAGTAAAACATAACTTATTTATAGTGTTTTGGAAAGCTCTCGAGATGAACAACAAGAATATGCAATGAAAAATAGGGAGTTCTATTAAAAAAATCAAAGTTGAACTCCGTATGACCTTAGAATGTTCACTGGAGGTCAATCCAATGACACCACCTTATACTCCCCTTCAAACCAAATAACTTTTGTTTGAAACATTTTTTTCTAAAATGCATAGTTTATGAAATACTCGACCGTTTTCAGGCTTTTCCTGGTACATCCTATATATAAAGTACTCATTTTCTAAAATTTAGTAATGCACAGAAATATAGGATAAAGATTAATGATTAGTTATGAAGATATATAATGAAGATATACAGGGTGGACCATTTTAACTTTTAATGGAGAATAACTCGACCGGTGAGCGAAATAGTGAAAAAAGTTTCATACAAAAGTTGTTGGACAAGGAGGGGGACGTATGACCATATCCTTGAATTTGACCTTGACTTTGACCTTAGGGGTTATTTGAAGATCAAATAACATTTTTTAAATGAAATTGCCTATTTTCGACCCCGGATTTGGAAAGAGCGGGAAATTTTAGAATAGGATATGGTATGATCGATAAGATCAAATGTCATGTTTTGAGGTCATTTCAAAGTCAAAAGGAACTTGTACGTGTATTCATGCGAAAATCGTATCTGTATACGGGGATTTCTAAATTATCTTCTACACTTAGCATTACCCAGAGACAACGACGTGGACGTAGTAGAATTCTGCCTCTTTCGGGGTGCTTGTTTAGAGTGAGCCCCTTGCCTCTCACTATGCATACTTTGCTATTGTTAATCTAGCTATTCAAAAGGTTTTCGAAAGTTGCACCGTTAGCATTTATGCAATAATTGAGCCTTCTTTGGAAATGGGCCACTGTGCTGAGCAAGACATTTCGTGGAATCGCTTCACAAGCTCGTCTTATGCGATTTCCATATCTTCTCTTGTTGTTGGTTCTTCTTTGAAAACAACTTCTTTCAAATAGCCCCAGAGATAAAAATCGAGTGACGTCAAATCAGGAGAACGAGGAGGCCATGCAATCGGACCCTCTCGACCAATCCATCGGTTCGGGTACCTTTCATCTAAAAACCTCCTGACTATACGTGCAAAGTGCGGTGGTGCACCATCCTGTTGGAAGAACATCCTTCGCCTGGTTTCCAAGTATACGTTCTCCAACAAATGAGGCAATTGGTCTGTGAGCAAATCGAGGTATGTATTTGCATTCACAGTACGTTCGAAAAAGAATGGACCGACCAAGTATCCATTAACAATCCCGCACCAGACATTGAGGCTCCAGCGGTGTTGATTGTCAATCGCTCTATGCCAGTGCGGATTGGTATCGGACCAATAATGGCAATTATGCCGGTTCAACTCCCCTGTGTTCTTGAACGTCACTTCATCGGAAAACATCACAAATCTAAAAAAATTAGGGTCCCGATCGATCTGCTGTAAGGCCCACCGGCAGAACTCGAGGCGTCGATCAAAATCGGCAGGTAATAATGTTTGGGTCAAAGTGATATGATAAGCATGGTACTTCCGAGCCTTCAAAATCCGCAAGATTGTGGACTTCGGTATTCCTGTGGATACCTCCAGTCTACGGCTCGAAATATGAGGATCGAGATAGACCGATGCCAAAATAGTCAGCACTCGAACGTCATTCTCGTCATATTCGTGATGACGACGTTGACGTGTTATTTGCCCAGTACGTGCCCTCGTGGTCAAATTTCTGATCGTCACGTTACACTGATGTCGTCTCCTCGGAAAGCGCTGAGCGTAAAGTGCTGCGGCATTCACATAGACACCTCGACATTCTCCTAAAATATAAATCATATCAACGATCTCATTGAGTGTATAATCTCCCATTTTAATCACACCAGATCTCTGCTTATTAATACTAAGAGACAAGCTGTATGATAATAATTGAGTTTTATCTCAATGAACAATATTTATTATACTAGCTTTATAATAATTATTGTTATAATTATTATTATCAATATTATTTTTGGGCGGATAATGATAATAATAACAATGATAACACTATTTTGTATTCTCAGTGAATAATTCCTTGCGAGTGAAAAATGTGAGCATTACTCGGAAGCGACGTGGACATATTGTCTTTCTCTGCGTGCTCCTACCGGCCACATGTGAATGCCGCAGCACTTTACGCTCAGCGCTTTCCGAGGAAACGACATCCGTGTAACGTGACGATCAGAAATTTGACCACGAGGGCACGTACTGGGCAAATGACACGTCAACGTCGTCATCACGAATATGACGAGAATGACGTTCGAGTGCTGATTATTTTGGCATCGGTCTATCTTGATCCTCATATTTCGAGCCGTAGACTGGAGGTATCCACAGGAATACCGAAGTCCACAATCTTGCGGATTTTGAAGGCTCGGAAGTACCGTGCTTATCATATCACTTTGACCCAAACATTATTACCTGCCGATTTTGATCGACGCCTCGAGTTCTGCCGGTGGGCCTTACAGCAGATCGATCGGGACCCTAATTTTTTTAGATTTGTGATGTTTTCCGATGAAGCGACGTTCAAGAACATAGGGGAGTTGAACCGGCATAATTGCCATTATTGGTCCGATACCAATCCGCACTGGCATAGAGCGATTGACAATCAACACCGCTGGAGCCTCAATGTCTGGTGCGGGATTGTTAATGGATACTTGATCGGTCCATTCTTTTTCGAACGTACTGTGAATGCAAATACATACCTCGATTTGCTCACAGACCAATTGCCTCATTTGTTGGAGAACGTATACTTGGAAACCAGGCGAAGGATGTTCTTCCAACAGGATGGTGCACCACCGCACTTTGCACGTATAGTCAGGAGGTTTTTAGATGAAAGGTACCCGAACCGATGGATTGGTCGAGAGGGTCCGATTGCATGGCCTCCTCGTTCTCCTGATTTGACGTCACTCGATTTTTATCTCTGGGGCTATTTGAAAGAAGTTGTTTTCAAAGAAGAACCAACAACAAGAGAAGATATGGAAAATCGCATAAGACGAGCTTGTGAAGCGATTCCACGAAATGTCTTGCTCAGCACAGTGGCCCATTTCCAAAGAAGGAAATCTCAATTATTGCATAAATGCTAACGGTGCAACTTTCGAAAACCTTTTGAATAGCTAGATTAACAATAGCAAAGTATGCATAGTGAGAGGCAAGGGGACTCACTCTAAACAAGCACCCCGAAAGAGGCAGAATTCTACCACGTCCACGTCATTGTCTCTGGGTAATGCTAAGTGTAGAAGATAATTTAGAAATCCCCGTATACAGATACGATTTTCGCATGAATACACGTACAAGTTCCTTTTGACTTTGAAATGACCTCAAAACATAACATTTGATCTTATCGATCATACCATATCCTATTCTAAAATTTCCCGCTCTTTCCAAATCCGGGGTCGAAAATAGGCAATTCCATTTAAAAAATGTTATTTGACCTTCAAATAACCCCTAAGGTCAAAGTCAAGGTCAAATTCAAGGATATGGTCATACGTCCCCCTCCTTGTCCAACAACTTTTGTATGAAACTTTTTTCACTATTTCGCTCACCGGTCGAGTTATTCTCCATTAAAGGTTAAAATGGTCCACCCTGTATATAATTGGACATCATACTTATTAGATAGTAGTGGTTAGCATACCTTAACCTTCTATTTTATCTAATTCTCTTTAAATTTTTCTTACCTTTTGTTCAGAATAGAAAGATGAATATAAAAAAATAGCATGTAAAGTAACACCGGTAATAGAATGAGACAAAAGCACCTTGCTAATAAATGCTTTCCCACATAAGACTGCAAAAAAGGTAAAATAATCTTTTAAAAATTTACTAATTAATTAATAATAAAAATAGTATTATAATATAATATAATAATAGTATAGATAATAATTATACAGGATGTAAAGTTGAAGATGTTACAAACTGTTATTTCTAAAATTAAGCGAGATACGAAATTTGTATTCTTATCAACTGTTTAGTATCAAAAGTAACCATTTAGTAGTTTTATGATGAAGTTAGTTTTTCTTAATAGAATCGTTAAAATCATTTCACGAATTGATCTTGATTTTCTAATTGTCAACATATATTTATCAAGTATGATTACAGCTCTTTGGACGAATAGACTAGTTACATATAGTCATAACAAAAAACGAAATAAAAGTTAATAACAAGTTTTTAAAATAAACGTTACGAAATGCAGGATATTCATAGGATCAGTCACATCAACAAATAACATATCTTAGCTGCTGGACTATAGTTTAACTACCCTACATTTACGACCTATATTTACTCTATATTTACGACCTATACAGGGTATCCCAAAAGTAACGGGCCACCCTAATAACTCTTCAATATTGAAGTTTCAAAGAAAATGATCTCAATAAAAGTTGTAGGGATTTAAATGAGCTATCTTATGATGACCTTCACCTCTATCTTCAAGGTTATTTGAAGATCAACTTGCGTTTTTTAAATGGGATCCCTTATTTTTTATTACACTTTTTTCTACTAGTTAATTTGAATAACTTTTGTCTATAATATTTTTTTATTTATCTAATATTTTTTTAGATATTTGAGGAAAACTTGATAACTTTTTCAATATTTAACTTATGATTCTCGCTAACTATTTGTCGGAAGAAAAAGTGATACTAGATTTTCGAGCTATATTTACCATGAAAGAAGGAGGGCGTACTAGCTGGAGACGAGACGCCGTGCGTTCGGGACCTGCATCTTATTTTTGTTCCGAAGAGAGAAAAATATCGAGAGCGCAGTAGTCGCTAGACCGGGAATCGAACCCGGGTTTTTCGCTTGCCGGGTGACTGCTCTAGACCACTGAGCTACCTGACACTCCACGCTCCCCTCTCCCTAGATAACGTTGAGAGATACCGTTCGGAAGCGACATCTCTAGTGCTATCCCGAGCGCACGGCGACTACAGAGAGAGGCATAATCTCAAGAATATATTGTTACAATAGCGCCCTGACTTTTGTTAACTTACAGACTTTTGGAAATTTCAAAATCATCAAATTAACAAAAATCATGGCGCTATTATAAAAATATATTTTTGAGACTAAATAAAGCAAGAAAGTCTAGTACCACTTTTTCTTCCGACAAATAGTTAGCGAGATATCGTAAGTTAAATATTGAAAAAGTTATTAAGTTTTCCTCAAATATCTCAAAAATATTAGACAAATAAAAAAATGTTTTAGACGAAAGTTGTTCAAATTAACTAGTAAAAAAAGACAGTGTAACAAAAAATAAGGGTTCCTATTTAAAAAACGCAAGTTAATCTTCAAATGACCTTGAAAATAGAGGTTAAGGTCAAAGTTAAGGTCATCATAAGTCAATCATAACTCATTTAAATCCCCATAACTTTTATTGAGATCATTTTCCTTGAAATTTTAATACTGAAAAGTTATTAGGGTGGTCCGTTACTTTTGGGACACCCTGTATATCATATGCTCATGTAAAAATCCGTTTCTGCTGCAGTTAAAGTGTGTGACCATCATTTATTTTAGAACATTACCTTTCTACTTTTGGCACTTCAAAGTTATCACATTGTCTAGTACAAAAATCTAAACACTTGAATGCGATATAAGATTTTGATATTCTATTTAAATTATATTGTCTACATACAAAACTGCTATCCGCTAAAATTCCGCCGATATTTTACTAAAATTAGGAGCATATCAACATAATCGTCGAAATCGATTATCTTTGTGAAAAGGAAATTAATGTATATTTATACCTTTTTAAACAAGAAGGTAAAAAAAGCGCAAAGTACACGCGCAATATGTATTGTGTTATTTTTAAAAATCTCAAACTAAAATTATATATTTTTTAAAGATATACAGGGTGCACGATTTATCTGAAGACATTGAAATATCTCGAGAACTATGCATTGGATAAAAAAAAGTGGTTAATGAAAGTTGTTAGTATCGGAGGGGGACATCCAATGATACCAAACTCGACCTCCCACCCCACCTCCTGGAGGTGGGGGTTGGGGGCAACTTTGAAATCTTAAATGGAAACCCCCATTTTTTATTGCAGATACGGATTCTACGCCACAAAATACGTAAATTTTGTCCGAAACTTTTCTTTTTATTCGTGATAGATGGCGCTGTAATCGCCAAAAAAAATTATATTTTCCGCAATTCTCCAGAAATGATCATTGGATTGAGAAATAAAAAGTACCTGTTCAATATTTTTAAAGAACATAATAAAAGTTACAATGTCGATAAATTCAAGTTAATTTCAACAAATATATTATATTATTAATATTCAATACATTCTAATATTATTTTGACATACCATTTTAAGAGTATTTTATATTAGATGTATTTGTAAAGAAACGATTTATATTTTACTATTGTATGAGTTTTAGACATTCTAATATTAGAGAAATGTTTCACCGATAAACGATAATCACTCTGTATAAACTTAAATAAAACATTACAACGTATATGTATAGAGAGAATTTACAAGTACATTTTATTATAATAAAAATGCTGTCATGTATATATTAAACAAGTTTTAGTTCGATATAGTTTTTGGTGTAGCCGCGCCAAGCTTTTTTGTATTAAATATTTTTTATCGCATTGATCGCATTGATTTTGTTTTAAATATTTTTTATCGCATTGATATAACTAATTTGTTATAATAACAAGTAAAATAACCATATAACTCAGTATTCTAATAAATAATGATAAATTTTAGTTGTAAAAATTTATGTTATAGACATTTTTTGTAATTAGGTTTTTCTTGAATAATAATAACCTTTAAAAAGATATCTCTTTTAAATATTGGACACTATTAATAAACGTGTTAAATTTTTATAACACGATATAATTTTTACTTGTAAAAACTTATGTTATGTACATATATCTTAGAAGAAAAAGAATTTAATAAGTTTTACTTGTAAAAGCTTATATTATGTATTGGGAGTACAAATTAGTTCGGTCCGTTTTTTTGTGTTAAACAATGTATTTATTTCAAAATAAAATGAATGAACAGATTAATTAAGGGAGGAACCTGGTTTATAGGGTCAAGATTTTCGAATTTTTTTTTTGCTTAATCGATAGTTAAATTATTCAAGAATATATTCCCAAAGTTTCAGAGCCCAATTCAAAGTATTTTAAAAGTTATAGAATACATGGTGAGTCAGCGTCGCGCAAGTATACAAGCGCTCGGTCGCGCGCTCACCCGACACAGATACGTGCTATATGCCGGCACGATATTTAATTACACATTCCTATAGATTGTCACGTAGGTGTATGAGTGTATGCGTGTCTATGTGTGTATACGTGTGTATAGTTCATAGTTTCAACGATCAGTCTTGCTCTGATTCTCGACGAGTAAAGAGTTTCTATTTAGCAAAAGTCGTTTAACAGTTTTAAATATGTATCCAGAAGGCTCAAGAAGTACTTCGCAGCGCATTTCGAAACCGCCGAAAAGAAGATTTCGTGGCAACCAGCATTCCAAGAATGAAAGTGATAATTTAGACGAAAGCATCAGTACGAAAAAATTAAGTACAGCGAGTACTGATAATATTATTGTGAATCCATTACATTATTATAGAATCATAGAAAAAAAAAACTTATAAGTCCATTTTGACTTTGAATCTGTATGGCGAAGATTGCCCCGTAAAAAAAACGTGAGTGTGTCGGACACATTCAGAAGCGGATGGGGACGCGACTTCGAAATATAAAAAAAAAGGAGAAGCTTGGCGGCAAGGGGAGATTGATCGATCTCGTCATAAAAAAATTAACCACTTACTACGGTTTAGCCATAAGACGAAATGTAGATTTTGTGGGTGATATGAAAAAAAGCATAATGGCAATACTCTACCACTATTGCTCGACCGATGAAAAGCCGAAACATGGAAATTGCCCCGCAGGCACCAACAGTTGGTGCGAGTGGCGCAAAGCTGAAGCCGCCGGTCAACTCGTAAACTATAAACATCCTGCTCCAGTTATAAAGCCTGATATTGAGAAACACCTTACTTCGATCTATGAAGATCTTTCCAACGAAGAACTTTTGACTAGATGTTTAGACGGGCACACACAAAATTCCAACGAATCCTTTAATTCGACTGTATGGCGTATCACTCCCAAACACCTCAATTCGGGCTCTAAAATTGTTCAAATCGCTATTTGGCTACTGGCATCTTTAATGAAGGCTACACTGCCATTTTATTAACAATGCAGTTATTAGAAATCAATATCGGCCAGCAATGCAAAATGTTCGCTGATAATTATGATGCACAGCGAGTTACGAGAGGAGAACGGCGCCGAAGCAGCATGACCAAGGAAGCTCGCACAGCTCGTAAACTGGAGCAAATGCAACGAAACGAGTTTTATGAAGAAGCTGAAGGCTTGCAGTATGGCCCTGGTATAGCTGATTAGCATAAGATTGCGGTAAGTCTCCAATAAATGATATTTTTTTGTACCACAAACTTTAAACGCGTTTTTCTCGAAATATCATTTTCGTACTTTCTTAAAATCAGCAGGAAAGATAGAAAAAAAACTAATTGATCAATCGACTTGATTCAAAGTGCGTTGGCTAGAGAATGAACAACCATTCTATGTGAACCTCAAACATTGGTAAAAACATTAATTTAAATAATTATTATTGCATAAAAACGGAGGAAATTTTTTCTCAAAAATGTCATTTTTTGTTCAAGTGCTAAAAAGTTTTGTATTTTACGGTTTTTTAACCATGTTATTGGTTCACATAGAATAAAACTACATGAAAATTAATAATCTTTTTGGTTTTTTGTTTCAGATCAAAATTGCTGGCTACATTTTTCCCGCAGATTGGCAACTCGGTTGGCGAGGCGCTCTGATTAGAGATACACCATGGCGCCATTTTGCAATTATTTTACAATATAAAATTTTTTTTACATCTTCAAATAGGCAGTTAAATATTATAAAAGTTTTAGGAACCTCAATTGCATCATTGTCAATAAAAAAATTCATAAAAATCTCCTTTTTAGTCTCTTAAACCAGGTCCCCCCCTTAAAATATTTTCCATCGCTGGCTACTACTTTCTCCCATTTCTCAGGCAATTTTCGAATTCCATCTCGAAAAAATAACTCGTCTTTTGAGGCGATCCAAGTTTGAAGCCAATTTTCGATTTCTGTGAAAGAAGTGAACCGGTGACCTGCCAAATCGTGCTGCATCCTTCGGAACAACCAGAAGGAACAATGTCCGGAAAATACGACGGATGCGGTAAAACATCCTATTTGAGCGTTTCCAAGTATTTTTTTACGACTTTTGCGACATAAGGCCGAGCGTTGTCATGAAGAAGAATAACTTTATCATGTCTTTGTTCGTATTCCGGCCATTTTTCTCGCAATGCACGGCTCAAACGAATCAATTGTAGCCGATACCGATCGCCCGTAATGGGATCTCCAGGTTTCAGCAGCTCATAGTAAACAACACCCTTTTGGTCCCACCAGATACAGAGCATGATCTTCGAACCATGTATGTTCGGCTTTGATGTTGATGTTGAGGTCGATGGCAACAATTGATCGGGCTTGGCGTAGTACTTTTTCTTCTTAGGGTTGTCGAAGAATATCCACTTCTCATCTCCAGTTACAATCCGATGCAAAAAACCTTTTCTTTGTTGCCTTTGAATCAGCTGCTCGCAAGTGAAAAATCGCCTTTCAACGTCTCTCAGTTTTAGTTCATAAGGCATCCAATTTCCTCGTTTTTGAATAAATCCCATGTCTCTCAATCGTACGGAAACGACTTGTTGAGTCACTCCCAATGATTCTGCAAGCTCCTCTTGCGTTTGACTGTGACCTTCTTCGAGTAATGCCTCTAATTCTTTGTTCTCGAATTTTTTTGGCTGTCCAGAGTGAGGCTTGTCTTCGACGCTGAATCTCCATCCTTGAAACGTCGAAACCATTCCCTACATGATTTATCATGTTGGAGCAGCGTCACCATAAACTTTAACAAGCATTCGATGGGCTTCAGCTGCACTTTTCTTCCAATTAAAGCAGAAAATTAAAACCTCCCGCAAATGCTGCTTGGTTAACACAAAATTAGACGTTTTCAACACTGTAAAAAGTAAGGTTTTTGTATGAAACTCAAAACGATATAAACTGAATATTATTAGCAGATGTCTAACCTCTCTGAAACCGCCAAAATCGACAGTCACTATGAACCATTCATAACAGCCGGAGCCATCTTTTGAAAACGGACCGAACTAATTTATACACCCAATACATAATATATTTCTTAATAAAAGGAAATAATTTGAATTTAAGATTTCTAAAAATATTAAGTATACAATAATCATATATATACTACTGTGATAAAAAAATAAGATGAATTTTTCATTTAAACTTCGCGGGTACTATAAAATCATGAAATTATTTTTTGTGGGTTGGTAGCACTATCTTTGACATCTATGCAGAATTTCATGTCAATATATTCAATTACTACAGAGCTTTTTGTAAACATACAAAAGTGAATTTTTTGATTTTTACTATGTCTGATTTTGTTGAGCAAAGAATTTGTATTAAATTTTGTTTACGGAATGAATATTTTGCCGCGGAAACGTTGAGGATGTTGCAGAAGGCCTTTGGTGATAAGGCTATGTCGCAAAAAAATGTTTACAAGTGGTACAAAGACTTCAAAGAAGGTCGAGAACGAGTTCAAGACGAACAGCGCCCCGGACGACCATCAACATCTACCGAAAGCCATGTCAAGGAAATCAAACTGTTAACAAGGAATATTATTTGAGTGTTATGCGTCGTTTGCGTTAAGCTATTCGCCTCAAGAGGCCAGAATTATGGGAAGACAATTCTTGGTTTTTGCACCACGATAATGCACCATCCCACACTGCATTGGTTCTTCGAGAACATTTCGCCAAAAATTCGACCCATATCGTTTCACAACCACCGTATTCGCCTGATTTAGCACCGTGTGACTTCTGGCTGTTCAACAAACTCAAAAGACCGCTCCGGAGACACCGTTTTGATTCGATTGAGGAGATAAAAGCCGAATCGAAGAAAGTATTGAAGGCCATCCCGGAAAAAGACTTCTCTGACTGTTTCGAGGATTGGAAAAAATGTTGGCATAAGTGCATTGTGTCGGACGGGAATACTTTGAAGGCGATGAAATTGATTTGGAAGAATAAACAAAGATTTTTCATTTTATAAACAAATTCACCTTATTTTTTGATCACAGTAGTATGTTCAGTTTCTCAGTTGGCGCTACTGCTTTAATATATCACTTCTTTTGTACAGTAGAATAGTATTGTAGAGTTTTATTATAGTTATAAGTTTCACTTGTAAAAACTTATGTTATGTACACGTACATACCTTAACAAAAATAATTTGAATTTGAAATTTCTAAAAATAACACAATACGTATTGCGCTTGTATTTACGCCTTTTTTATCTTTTTGTTTAAAAAGGTAAGTTTTATATAAATTTTACTTGTAAAAACTTATATTATGTAAGATTTACTTGTAAAAACTTATGTTATATACATATACATACCTTAAAAAAAAATAATTTGAATTTGAAATTTCTAAAAATAACACAATGTGTTGCACTTGACGCCTTTTTTTCCCTTTTTGTTAAAAAGGTAAGTTTTATATAAGTTTTACTTGTAAAAATTTATGTACACATATATCTTAAAAAAAATAATTTGAATTTGAAATTTCTAAAAATATATTCATTATACGAAAAGATTTTTAATTCGGTGCATCCACTACAATGTAATCTTTATATAATTTCCAGGAATTTTGCTTATATATACAGGGTGTTATAAAAGTCCGGGAAGAGCAGAATAACTTGAAAAATATAAGTCCCAGAAAAAATGCGAAGTATGGGTTTTTATGATTTTTTCCTGGTTATCTGACGGTAACCTTGGATTTGACCTTGACAATGACATTGAAGGTCATTTCAAGGTCAGGCCAATTTTTTTAAATGGGCCCCCATACTTTTGACCCCAGAAATGAAAAGAGCGGAAAATTTTACGTTTGGATATGACCTTGAATACTGCCAAATTTGACCTCTGAAGGTCACATAAAGGTCTAAGCTTGTTTTAGGCTGAAAACACGAATATCTTCGAAAATGCACCTGCTAGGGAGCAATGTTACGCATAAGAATAAGAATGTAGAAGTCAACGAGGGACATTCAGCCGTGACCTTGCCCTTATTCTCAAGGTCATGAGTTAAGATTATTATTAAAGTCAAACCGGACTTTTTTAGGACTAAACATCCATACTTTTGACCTAAAAGTGTCAAGATTGAAAAATTTTACGTTCGGATATAACGTTTTCAACCTTGACCTTGTTCTCAAAATTATGCGTTTTATGTTACTTCACTGATCCTGAAGTCTACTGAAAGTAAAGCGTCTCAAACCCGATCACTGAAGGCAAGATGTCTTAAACCCGACCACTGAAGGCAAGGTGTCTCAATCCCGACCACTGAAGGCAAGGTTCAGTTAGTCCCGGCCACCAAAGGCAAAGCATCTTGTAACTCGGCCTGAGATTACAAGAGATGTTCAAAATGTTCCCCATTGACCGTTTGACAGTGTGCTAAGCGGACGTACAAATTGTCAGTCGCACTCCTTATCATTTCTGGAGGTGTTGCAGCACATTCGTCTATGATCCGTTGTTGAAGCTCATCCAGGTTACGAGGTTTAGTGAAATAAACTTTATTTTTTATGTAACCCCAAAGAAAGAAATCAAGTGGTGCAATGTCGGGCGATCTCGGTGGCCATTCGATTATTCCTCTTCTACCTATTCATCGATTAGGAAAAGTATCGTTTAAATAGTTCCAAACAATGCGTCCATAATGTGGCGGTGCCCCATCTTGCTGGAACCAAACATCATCAAAATTATCACCAACAAACTCCTGTATTGATGGAACAATTTGGTCTGTTAGAAGCTGCAGATAGGTTTCTTAGTTCAAAATCCCATTAAAAAAGGCCCATAAAAAAAGGCCCAATCACTTGATTATCATAAAGACCTGCCCAAACATTCAATTTTTGAGGTCGCTACGTATGTGCTTCAAGCATCCAATGATTTTCGTTGTTCTAATATTTAAAATTATGACGGTTTACCTTACCAGTAATTTCAAAAGACGCTTCGTCTGAAAAAACGATATTATGCAAAAAGTTCGGTTGCTGAATAATTCTTTGCATCATAACTTCTGAAAATTGCACCCTGCGGTCAAAATCATCCTCATTCAACTCATGGTGGAGATAAATTTTGTAGGGGTGAAACTTAATGGTCTTTAGATTTTTGGAAATTGACAATACTCATTCGAAGCTGTTGAGATGCTTTTCTAATTGACAATCTGGGATTTTCAACAAATGATTGGGTTACTTCAAACTGTCGCTCTTCTGTCGTTTGGGACCTTGGCCTCCCAGATTTTTGGCGATTTTTATTAATCCCAGTTTCTACAAATCGTCTGATAGTGCGAGATACAGTCGATGTTGTAATACCTTCGCCTTCATTACGAAAGTTTTCATTGAACAGCAATCTCACTTCACTGTATGACCTTTGTCTATCCCCCCATCCTTTCATCATCAATAGTGAAACTCTTTCATGCTCTGTAAGAGAAGCTATTTAGAATTGAAAACAAAAAATTTGCAAAAATTTGGTATAAAAAATTTCCTTACCTTTAAATAAAAATAATAAGTAATGTACCATTGATCGTTAATAATGATATGATAATAATTCAAAACGGACTAAAATGACATCAAAACATGTTAAATCGATGAAAACTGAAAAACAATCTATTATCTGTTTGACATTGATAGAATCGAGACAAATAAAAACTTTGAAGCATACATTTTATCGATGGCGAATAAATTTTTCGGATACCGATCCTGGGATTTTTGAGCTCGCTAAAACCGAATCCGACGTCGGATTTTACAAATTCAAGATAGCCGATTCAAGATAGCGGCCGATATTTAAGAATAACAAAAATTGGATCTCGTTTAAGGAGTTTTTGAAGTCGTTTCTGAAATCGAATCCGACGTTGGATTTTACAAATTCAAGATGACCGATCAAAAATGGCGCCCGATATTGAGGAATTACCAACAATCGGAGTGTGACCTCGTACGTAACTTAAAATCTCACTCTTCACATTATGGGGGGGGTGAAAGTATGTTTCCAGCCTAAAAAGATTAATTGACCTTGATATGACTGACACATAACCTTAAGAACAAGGTCAAGATTCAAAACGTCATATCCGAACGTAAAATTTTTCAATCTTGACACTTTTAGGTCAAAAGTATGGATTTTCAGTCCTAAAAAAGTCCGGTTTGATTAATAATAATAATCTTAACTCATGACCTTGAGAATAAGGGCAAGGTCACAGATAGATGTCCCTCGTTGACCTCTACATTCTTATTCTTGTGCGTAACATTGCTCCCTAGCAGGTACATTTTCACGTTTTCAGTCTAAAACAAGCTTAGACCTTTATGTGACCTTCAGAGGTCAAATTTGGCAGTGTTCAAGGTCATATTCAAACGTAAAATTTTCCGCTCTTTTCATTTCTGGGGTCAAAAGTATGGGGTCCTATTTAAAAAAATTGACCTGACCTTGAAATGACCTTCAAAGTCATTGTCAAGGTCAAACCCAAGATCACCGTCAGATAGCCAGGAAAAAATCATAAAAACCTAATACTTCGCATTTTTTCTAGGACTCATATTTTTCGAGTTATTCTGCTCTTCCCGAACTTTTATAACACCCTGTATATCCATATATATATACTTATGGATACTTATGGATACGTATATTCGGATTATTCGTTATCACATTTGCAGGAAAATTTCAGCGCTGGCTATGAAAACAGTCGTGAACTATTTTTCTGCTCTGTATTATCATATTTATCGGGAAACTTAACCGCATATATTAAAAATTTTTCTACAAAGTTTTCGTATCGTTTTAGGTTTCCTACCTAAATTTTGAGTTGTTAAAAATGATTTATAAATTTTTTCTCATTGGAGTATCCAGAGTTTCGGTACATACAAGCTGCAAAACTTTTATATTAGATAAATATTACGCTAACTGTCAATTCGAAATTTTACTTTAAAAATTTTTACTTTTTACTTCGAAATTTTACTTTTTATCGCTTTCGTCATATAATGAGTGATGCTCCAATTAATTTTTGTACGTACTTTTATCATGTAAAAGCATATTTAATTCTGAAGCATTTAAAACAACATAAACTTTGCAGAAAAGATGTCAAATTTTGACTGTTCTCTGTCGATAAAGTTTTCACGTTCAGCATCCCCTTAAGGGGATCCTGGAGTCGTCTGTTTTACCGACACATTGATTCAATATTCTCAAACACTATTCCTTTTTTTAGCTGGACAGATTGGAAAATCCTTTTGTACAACGAAAGTAGTTATAATAACGAAGTCCGGAAAACCAAGTTTTATGTAAAATTCAATGAAAAATTACAAAATTACAGTTTCGTTATCATGTTTTGTGTCAGCTCATAACTTTACTTATTGATTATAAAAGTTCTGCAGTTTATCCATGCAAAAGCTTTTGCTTCTGGACTAGCCATAATATGAAAGAATAATACTGAAGTAACTGAAATGAGCTTAGAAGTCAGTATAAAAGGAATAGTGTTTGAGAAAAATGTAATTCATACGGAATTGTGTTTGCTACATTTTTGGATAAAACAAAATAGTAGATTAGTTCCACATAATCATGATCGATGGAGCTGCAGGCAGACAAATCATACTATCCTTGTCTATTTCATGCGTGGAATAATGTTATGACGAGGAAACTGTAATTGTTAAATTTTTCATTGAATTTTACATAAAACTTTGTCTTTCAGTCTTCGTTATTATAAATATTTTCATTGTGCAAAAGGATTTTTCAATCTGTACGGCTAATAAAAAGATTAGTGTTTGAAACTCTCTTGTATCTTTGTTCCCTCGATCGCACGCTCATTAGATTGCATTCACAATCAGTCGGAAGGCGTTGTTATATTCTACACGTATGTCGTACACACCAATCACATCCTCACATGTAATGTCTTAAATTAAATTAACTATATATATTCATATAAATATATATATATATATATAAAATTTAATTTATAATTTATATATATGTATGTATATATATATATATATATATATGCGAGGTGAAGCGATTGTCAAGATGTTCAGTGAGCGGCGACATGTTCGCGCTGTCTTCTTTTAGTAAGTAGTATGTGGGAAGATATGCCCCGTCAAAACATTCCCCCTCCACTCGACCTGCCGGCGACACTAAACCACGCCCACCGGCGCCGGCGGGTCGAGTGGAGGGGGAATGTTTTGACGGGCCATACCTCTCCACAGGCAAAAACTAATCGACTTTTGAAATAAGCAAATTATGACCGACATTATTAGGGAGTTGACAATTCTGGCTCTTGATCAGCTACTTAATTTGCATATTGTATTTGCGGAAAAACTCTGTGAGCTCTGCTGGATTCGAACCTGGGACTTCTGGCTCTTAAGTCTCGCGTTTTACCACTATAACGCTACTGCTATACCCTGATGGAAACTAGTTATATAGCCTGCATACAGAAAGAATCGGTGTCACAGGTTTTGTAAAAACTCTGTAAGGCCCTCTGCTGGATTCGAACCTGGGACCTCTAGGGCTCCTGAGTCACGCGTCTTACCACTACGCTACTATTATACACCCTGATGGAAACTAGTTATATAAGCCTACAACACATGGAAAGTATCGACGTCACAAGTTTTGGAAAAACCCTGTAAAAGGCCCCCTGCTGGATTCGAACCAGGACCTCTGGCTCTCGAGTCAAACCGTCTTACCATCGCGCTACCGCTATACCCTAATGGAAACTAGCTATATCGTCTACATATGGAAAGCATCGACGTCACAAGTTTCGAAAAACCCTGTAAGGCCCTCTGTTGGATTCGAACCGGGGACCTCTGGCTCTCGAGTCAACCGTCTTACCATCGTACTACTGCTGCTCTCTGGTAGAAACTGTCTTTACGACGTAGTCGTATAACGGGATGAGATATGCGTGTGTGTGTGTGTGTGTGTGTGTGGTCATCCCCACATGCGTGTTCTCTGGAAAAATCCTGTTGGTCCTCCTCGGATTCGAACCAGGGTCCGTTGGCTCTTGAGTCAAGTGTCTTATATGCTACACTTTTGCTATACTCTGATGGAAACTAGCTATATTGTATACTTACGTAGAGTATTGACGTCATGCATGGAAAATTTCGAAAATTCTAGGTCCTACGGACTCGAATCTCTGGGGCCCCTGCTCTTGAGGCTCGTGAGCGTGTGTGCACATGTTCGAGCAGATAAGGATAATTTCGAAGATAAAACTATTGATGGAAGACGATGCCTCCAGTCTATGTCTACCCGAATATTTTTACCTGTACGTCCCCACCGCTTTCGAACTCGAAAAGTTAACAATGGGCTTAGTTACAACGAATTGGAGATCGCAAGGAAGAAAAAAGAGGTGGAGAGAAAGGAATATACAACATTTTTATAAAATAAATTCACATTTTATTTTTGAAGTTACATTCGTAGTTTTGCAAACGTTCGTAGCATTCTGCATTCGTTATAATTTCGTGTATAATTTCATTTAAATGAATCGTGGTTAATTCATACAATACAATATTAAAGTACGTGTCTAAAAATGGTAAATTTTTTATTTGACGTCGTATGTTTTCTTCGATTTCTCGATATTTATCAACGAGCGTCTGTTTCACGAAATCTTCGTTTATGCCTTTCTTCGTGAAATTAAGTTCTATTTCGGATATTAAAATACATTTACAATTATTTACAAGAGCTGCAACCGATTGTAAATGTTCGTATCTAACGCCGATACATTTCGCGACAGTTTCCAGACCATCGAAAGAAGTCTTCTGCATTACAATATTCTCCGTATATAGTTTACGCTTCTTCAACGGCGGCTGCTTCAAATGTGTAGAGTCCTCCGATGCCTTCTTCACAGACCCTTTCGTCTTCCATTTTCCCTCGCTGGCTCACCATTATAGCCCGTGCACCGTATGCAGAGGTAAAGCTGATTGCGATGTTGTTAATGATGATAGGAGTTGGCATATTCTTATTTTCTCTGCACAAATAAGAATTTTATAATGTCTTTAAATTTTTCCCACGTATTTTTCCCACTTTAAATCAAGGAGAATTCCCGAAGACGTGTTTCCCATTATCTTGATCGCTGGCTCGAATGTTCCCACGTCGTACATGGTGCGCAACCCAACTTGCAGCCTCTTAGTGTCCGAATTGTTAAGAGCGTAAGTCGTGCATAGAAGCATGTTGCGCTCGTTTCTCACTTCTGTAGAGAGGCTGTTCGACGTCTTCTTAAGATCGGCGTTCACGTTAGCGGCGGTTATTTTTCTTGCAAGAACTTGTAAATAACTTGTAAAGAACTTGTAAATAACGAGAACTAGCTATGTTGCGAGTAGTAGCAACGAAGCTTGAATGCTTCACCAGTCTCAGCACCGTATGCCTTTCCCCGTAGAGAAAAGAAAAAGTAGTGGGGATGGTGATGCGCATACGTAAAAGGTCTACAACTACTTATCTTTTTCAAAATGATATATACAAAAGATGTATCATTCACGTTTACTTAGGATGGGAGATAAGTTTCTGTATCGATAACATACAGTTTCTGAAAGCGTTTCTCTAAGGAT